CGCAAACCTGCCTATTCTACATGGGTTCTGCCATCCGCCGCATCAACACAAAACATAGGAGACTTTAATGGGAAGGAACTTTAATAAAACTAGGAAACAATACAGGTAAGGCAAAGAGTCTAGTTTCTAAATGAAGCATCCAGAGTTACCCGTCCCCTCGTGGGTAAAAGTCCATCCAAATGGGATTGGCCCAGAACAAGGCCCCAAAGCCTGCCACAAGTCTAAAGCATCTTCCAGTGGGGACCCACAGAAAAGGGTCACAAACAACTGGACAAGCCCGGAAGGAAAAGAGCAAAATCAACATCAAGATAAAAGCTGCCATTGTCACCTCCCCACGGGTCTCACCCACATCTGTGTCACCTAGTCCACGACCAAAAGACAAGCGCAGTTTCTTCACGTGTCTCTAGGCTCCATGCGCCTCCTCCAGGTCTCCTGGCTCCATCCTGCTTCCTTCCTCAGTCTCCTCTGCAGCTTCTCCTCTTCCTGCTCAGCTCCACCCTCCCTTGGGTGGGGCAGGGAACCTCCCCCTTTCCTGGGACCACCCTGTTACAAAACCACTGGAAGTGGAAGCACAGGGACCCCTGAAGGGATGAGCTGCAAAGTAAACCAGCTTTGGTGAAGTCAAGGTGTTATGAGGAAAGGATGTCCTGAGCTAATTCCATGCAGGCTTTGTGGACCCCACCCCCACTCCAGACCAAAGCCATCAAGACATTGGGAAAGAAATCCCATCACCACCAAAGGGAAGGTGGCTGGGACCTGAGGGTGGAGTTCAGCAGCCAGGTTTGGTATAAAAACCAAACATGTGGGCCTGGGGGGGGCTCACTCTCTTGCTCGCCTCCTGGCTTCAAGGCTCCTGGCTTGCGGCCAGCTCTCAGAGTGCCATTTGGGATTCCAGATCTGCGGATCTGGTAGGACGCATTTAAAACTTTGTCTCCCACTTTTCTCCCTGAGTTGTACATTTCCTCATTTGCCCTTCCCTTGTAAATAAACCTTTTATTAACCTTTCTTGTGTGCCTGCAGTATAGATAAGTCCTTTTAAGTGCGCGGGTGAGGACCCACAGTCAGGTACCCCGTTTTGTATCAGGGCTGCCCTATAACAAAGGGAGCAAAGCTGGAGACAGGGAAAAACCACCTTTCCTCTTTCCTTGGAACAAAGGCCTCCTTAGGAGGGTGTGCCAGGTAGTATACGGGAAGAAAGGTAGGATTCAGGGCACAAGGGAAGTGTGAAACTGAACAAAGAGAGAGAAGGAAGTTGTTTGCATCACACAGGGAGAAGCCAGGGCCCCTGCCCCCAAGTACATTAAAGGATTTGTGTAGGTGGCAGGAATTATGCTAAAAACCACTTGTTGGGAGATGTTGCACCACTTGCTTTACATACTTCATCTTATTTTATTCTCATAGCAACCCCAGGAGGTAGAAAGTATTACCCCAGTTTGCATGGCAAAACAGGCTCAGAGTAGTTGAGTAATTTGCCCAAAGTCACACAGCTAATACAGAGAAAAGCCAAGAATTGGACCCAGGCAGACTAACAGTCCAATTCTCATCTCTGTCATCACGTTATGCGCTGAGCAGCAGAAACGGAACCAACTGACAAATGCTGTCTGCAGAGCTCTTCATGCAGGTCATGCCTTTTATTCGAAGCAGTGGAAGACCATATTATCACCCTATTTTACAGGAGTAAAACCCAAGGCACTGTCAGGCTGAGAACCTAAGGTCACTCACAAGTATGTCAGAAGGATGCAAACCAGCTTATGTCACCCCCAAAGCCAAGGCTCTGGTCCATTGCATTACATGAGGTGTGACCACCCCACCTACAGTAACAGAGTAACATTGTCAGGGCACAGAACTGTGTTGACTTCGCTGCATGGCATCTACATTCACCCATTTACTTTTCAACTTTTCATTCACCTGTTCAGCAAACACAATATTGAGTGCCTGCTAAGTCAGCTTACAAGACCACTGGGATCTGCTGTGGGGATGAATTGGGTATAGGTCAGAGATATGGGGGTAAAAGAATTTACCAGAGCAGAGAACAGAACAGGCAGATCTTATTACTGCTAAGAGTAGCCACAGGCATAAAGGAAAGATCTGCCACCTGAGTGCAGAATGAAGGTCACGAGGGTCTATTCACCTGGCATCATTGACTGGTTAGGGTGACTAGTCTTGGGTGTGTCCTGACTAATGATCTGAATTAGCATAAGGGATCATCCACTCTTCATATCATCAGCTTAATGTCCAGGTTCCCAGAGCAGTCCCATCCACTCCCTTTATCCATTCAAGACTCCCAAACTTGCCTGGTAGGTAAGGAATGGGGGCCTAGGTTTTAAATTTAGTAATGATACCATGACAGGATCCCAGCACTTCTGCAGCATCCATTCTACTTGGTGTCATAAGGAGCACTGGTGCCTTGGCCTTGTAACAGGGTGGTCCCCAGGAAAGGGGGAGGTTCCCTGCCCCTCCCAAGGGAGGGTGGAGCTGAGCAGGAAGAGGAGAAGCTGCAGAAGAGACTGAGGAAGGAAGCAGGATGGAGCCAGGAGACCTGGAGGAGGCACATGGAGCCTAGAGACACGTGAAGAAAATGTGCTTGTCTTTTGGTCGTGGACTAGGTGACACAAATGTGGGTGAGACCCGTGGGGAGGTGACAATGGCAGCTTTTTTTTTTTTTTTTTTTTTTTTTAATATTAAATTTTATTTTTATATTCCCCCATACAATTGCAAATGCCCCATTCTGACCCCAATCCTTCCCCTCCCGCCCCCCACCCCCCAAAAAGTGTCTCTGGTTCATAGTTTTTTGTTGATTTTGATTTTCACTTTCTTATATTCATTTTCCTGGTCCCTTATTTAAGTTTTCTAGATTCCTGCTATGAGTGAGACCATCCGGTATTTTTCTTTTTCTTTTTGGCTTATTTCGCTGAGCATGATCCCTTCCAGCGCCATCCATGTTGCTGCAAATTGCATGTGTTTATCTTTTTTGAATGCTGAGTAATATTCCATGGTATATATGTACCACATCTTCTTGATCCAGTCATCTATTTTTGGGCATTTGGGTTGTTTCCAAAGCTTAGCTATTGTAAACAGTGCTGCTATAAACATAGGAGTGCAGGTGCTCTTTGGAATTGATGTTTCTGTGTCCTTTGGGTAAATACCTAGGAGTGGAATTGCTGGATCATATGGAAGCTCTATGTTTAGTAGGTCCAGAAATCTCCACACAGCTCTCCATAGTGGTTGGACCAGTTTGCACTCCCACCAACAGTGCACAAGAGTTCCTTTTTCTCCACATCCTCGCCAACATTTGTTGTTGCTAGTTTTTTTAATATGTGCCATTCTCACTGGTGTGAGATGGTATCTCAAGGTAGTTTTGATTTGCATTTCCCTGATTACAAGTGATGTTGAACATTTTTTCATATGTCTGCTGGCCATTTGCATTTCCTCTTCAGAGAAGTTTCTTTTTAGCTCTTCTGCCCATTTTTTGACTGGATTATTTTCTTTGTTGTTGCTGAGTCTCATCAGCTCTTTGCAGATTTTTGTGATCAGTCCTTTATCATTAGTGTTGGGTGCAAAAATGTTCTCCCAGTTGGTGGGGTTTCTCTTTGTTTTTGTTATTGTCTCTTTTGCTGTGCAGAAGCTCTTTAATTTGATGTAGTCCCAGCTGTTTATCTTTCTCTTCACTATCACTGCTTTGGGTGATGTGTCTGTAAAGATGTCTTTGATGTGCAAATCCCGTAGTGTTTCGCCTATATTTCCTTCTATGTATTTTATGGTTTCAGGTCTTATGTCTAGTTCTTTAATCCATTTTGAGTTGATTTTTGTGTATGGTGTGAGGTAGTGGTCAAGCTTCATTCTTTTGCATGTAGCGACCCAGTTTTCCCAGCACCATTTATTGAACAAACTTTCTTTGCTCCAATGCATAGTCTTTGCTCCTTTGTCAAAGATTAGTTGACCATAAATCTGTGGGTTTATTTCTGGATTTTCTATTCGATTCCATTGGTCTGTATGTCTGTTCTTGTTCCAATACCATGCAGTTTTGATGATTATGGCTTTGTAGTAGAGTTTGAAGTCTGGGAGTGTGATGCCTCCATTTCCTTCTTTTTTTTTCAGTAGAGCTTTGGCTATTCGGGGTTTTTGGTGATTCCATATGAATTTCATCAATAATTGTTCTATTTCTTTGAAGAATGGACAATGGCAGCTTTTATCTTGATGTTGATTTTGCTCTTTTCCTTCCGGGCTTGTCCAGTTGTTTGTGACCCTTTTCTGTGGGTCCCCACTGGAAGATGCTTTAGACTTGTAGCAGGCTTTGGGGCCTTGTTCTGGGCCAATCCCATTTGGATGGAGTTTTACCCACGAGGGCACGGGTAACTTTGGGTGCTTCATTTAGAAACTAGATTCTTTGCCTTACCTGTATTGTTTCCTAGTTTTATTAAAGTTCCTTTTCATTAAAGTCTCCTATGTTTTGTGTTGATGCGGCGGATGGCAGAACCCATGTAGAATAGGCAGGTTTGCGGGGCTTGGGCTGCCCCTCTCCCTGTCCTATAACAGCCTGACCACTGGTGTCTTGGCCTGACCTAGAGGAGGCTGTAGGCAGAGTTCACTCTTACAGGCACTGTAGAGGCAAAGACAAGAGCTGGACCAGCCCAGGACAGGACAGCGGCACAGGAACGCTCTATCTGCAACAACAGCTGGAGCCAGAGCTTTAAAAAAGGTAACTCAGAGGCCTCCCTGGTGGCGCAAGGGTTAAGATGCAGCACTATGAAGCTATCCGTAGCCACTGCAGCATGAGTTCCATCTCCGGTCAGGGAGGTAACCAACATGGCATAGCAGACCTCTCCTGCCTCGCTCACTGCTCCCCTCAGCAGTGTATTTCAGTCAGTCTGCCTGTTCTGTTCCCCGCTCTGTCTCTGGTGAATCCTCTCATACCCCCTCCCCCCACCCACCCCACATCTCTGGCCTGCCTGACCCAGCTCTTGTATGCATAAATAAATACGTTTTTTTTTTTTTTAAAGGTAACTCAGGGAGCAGCAGAGGCAGAACTGGAGTGTCAAGGAGTGGCTCCTCTAAATATCCTCAGAAGAAACGCACCCAGAAGAAACAAGCTTGACCACTAAGCCATTATCAAGTGATGAAGACAGGAGACAACACACTTGTGTCCACTGTAGATGTCAAGGTCAACAACAGGCTGTGGCATTCTATGACATTGATATGGCCAAGGTTAAGATGTTACAGGGCAGGGTGAGTGTCTGGTATCATTGCCAAATTTAACAACTAAGCCACCACTCCTTGCCTGGTAGGCAGGGTTGGGAGGCTTAAATGGATAAAGGAAGTGAATGGGACTGCCCTGGAGAACTTGGACCATTAAGCTGATGATCCCTTATGCAAATTCAGATCATCAGTCGGGACCCACATGACACTAGCCACCCTAACCAAATCCATGAATATAGAGACCTGGGATCCTCATGCAGGTCCTCATGCAGGCTGACCACTCCTGCCTGGCCTACTGCTTCCCTTAGCAGTGTATTTCAATAAATCCACCTCTTCTATTTTCCACTCTGTCTCTGGTGAATTCGATCACCCCTGTGTCTCTGGCCTATACCCAGCTCTGTCCCATGACAGTTCTGTCCCCAATTTGCCCACTCTCAATAGGTTTTGCCATCTGCTGCATCAAGACAAAATAAACTCCAGTGTGTTAGACCTTCAATGGAAAGGAACTTGAAAACAATTAGTGTGCCATACAGGAAAGGGGAAGAATATGTTTCCAAATCTAGTACTCCAAGTTAACCATCCCCTTGTGGGTAAATGCCCAGCCAAACAGGGTTGGCCCAAAACAGGGCCACTGAGGCCCAAAAGCTTGGGTTCCTTCCAGCAGGAACCCATAGAAAAGGGTCAGGAACAGCCAGACAAGTCTGGAAGGAAACGAGCAAATTCAAAATCAAACCTGCCATTGTTAACCACCCCATGGGTCTCTCACTCACATCTGTTTCAACCAATCCAAGGCCAAGAAGCAAGTGCAACTTCTTCACATGTCTCTCTGCTCCATGTGCCTCCTCCAGGTCTCTCCTGGCTCTCCACTCTTCTCCTTCACTTCCTCAGTCTCGTCTCCAGCTTCTTTTCTTCCCTGCTCAGCTCCAACCTCCCTTGGGTGGGGCAGGGAAACTGGTACCCTTTCCTGGGGACCACCTTGTTACAAACATAGATCAGACTTGACAGAGAAGGCTTAAGTTCAGCTGGATCCTATGATGCTTTGGATGTTGCCAACAAAATTGGGATCATCTACACTGAACACAGCTGGCTAATTTGAAATATAAATTTTTTCACCATTAAAAAAGTTGTGGCTGGTGGTGGCACAAGGGGGTAAGTCTCAGCATGATGAAGCTATCTGCAGCCACTTCAGCATGAGTTCAATCCCCAGCCAAGAAGCTGACCCATATGGCACAGCAGACCTCTCCTGTGTTGCCCGCTGCTCCCCTCAGCAGTGTATTTCAGTCAGAGCCTGTTCTGCTCCCCACTCTGTCTCTGGTGAATCCTCTCATACCCCACACCTCTGGGCTGCACCCCTGTTCTTGTATGCTTAAATGAATAAATCTTTTTTAAAAAGTTGTGGCTGAAGTATAGTCTTTGAGACAACAAGACAATGGAGGCTATTTTGCTTATCTTACAAGATTTGCATTTTGAAAGTCTGAGGTCTGGAGCACTGCTGCAGTGGGCTAGGTCAGGGGCCCAGAGACAAATATGGTGGAGTTTCAAAGATAAGGAGGCTTAGGCGGATAGATTAGATCTAGGAAGGAGGGATGGGGGTGGGGACTGGTTTCTGACTGGGGCGTTGGCAAGCAGAAGCCTGGGTAAGGAACCCTCCAAGAATTGTATGGGGAAGAGAAAGTATCATGGTGGACTAGGTGAGTGTGAAGGGGATAAAGACCTCTGTCCACAGTGTGGCTGGACACACTGCCCTGGATGCACAAGAAATGGTGTTTGGTTCTGCAGAGATGCTCTGTGCCTCAGATTCCTCATCTGTAAAATGGGTAATAACATGACCTTATAAGAAGTGTTGTAAAGATTAAATGAATTAGGGCCTTCCTGGTGGCGCAGGGGTTAGAGACAACACCATCAAGCTATCACCAGCCACTGCAGCATGAATTTGATACCCTGCTGGCCAGGAACAACCCACATGGCACAGCAGACCTCTCCTGTCTGGCCCGCTGCTCCCCTCAGCAGTGTATTTCAGTAGACCCACCTGTTCTGCTGCCCACTCTGTCTCTGGTGAGTCCTCTCACCCCCCGCATCTCTGGTCTGCACCCCAGTTCTTGTATGCATAAATAAATCTTTTAAAAAAAAAGATTAAATGAATTAATGTGTAAAGCACTTAATATAGTACCAGGTACATGGGGATGTTAACACAGGTTAGTTGATAAATCTATGAATGACTGTCTCTCTCTGCTGTGGTTGATAGAAGTTTTGGGGGAAAAGAGTAGATTTAAAAACTCAAGGACTGTCCGGAGCCGTCCAGAGTATGTGCCGTGTTGCGTATGCGTGCCATGAGTTCGCTTTACCGTTTCGCCTTCGGAGAACCACAGGTTTTTCCTGTAAAGCACATGCGACTGGGAGGTACGGGGGGAGGAGCTACGAGGGTATAAGAGGAGAACGCGGGAGAGAGAGGAGAAGAAAAGAGATTTAAGAGGAGAACCACGAGAGAGGAGAGTACTGCGAGAGGAGCAGAGAGAAGGCCAGGGAAGTAAGAAAGACAGGGAAAAGGAAAAGAGAAGGAAAAGGAAAAATAAAGAAGCAAACGCTAGCGTCAAGTTGTCAAGCCCCTCATTTCAATCCTCAGCCCTTCTCTTTTCGTGCCTCCGAATCCCGCAGGCCGGGACAAAGGACCTATTTCCTTTCTGATATTCAGGACTGTGTTGGAGGGTTAAGGAGTAGTAGAAATGTTACTTTGAAGGACTGCATGAGGGAGTGGATGGTGCCATTTTCCATCCCCACACCACCCTGGAGACAAACAAGTACACAGTAGGGAGATAAACCCTTATCTAGATGTTGAATAACTATCCAGGACATGCCAAGACTAAACCCCCTAACCAATCAATGAGGCCTGGGCTATGAGTACAGCCTTGGACTCTCCCAGAGCAGATGACCTCTCACACCTTGCCCGCTGCTCCTCTTAGCAGTGTATTTCAATAAACCCACTTTTCTGTTCACTGCTCTATCTCTAGTGAATTCTTTCACCCATATGCCTCTGGCTTACACCCCGATTGTTCCTCTCCACTAATAGGGGCAGGGAAAATGGCGCCCATTCACTGCACTATGATGTTCCTCCCCTTTCAAAGAGATGAACAGCTGTTACAGGGCAGGGAGAGGGGCACCCCAGAACCCCCAAACCTGCCTGCTCTAAATAGGTTCTGCTATCCATGCCATCAAGACAAAACATATAGAACTTTAATGGAAAGAAACTTTAATACCATTAGTGTACAATACAGAAAAGACAGAGAATATAGTTTTCAAATAAGCACTCAAAGTTACCCATCCCCTCATGGGTAAAAGTCCACCCAAACAGGATTGGCCCAGAGCAAGGCCCGAAAGCCTGCCACAAGTCTAAAGCACCTTTGGGCGGGGACCCATAGAAATGGGTCAGAAACAGTCAAACAAATATGGGAGGAAAAGAGCAAAATCAAAATCAAGATAAAAGCTGCCACTGTTAGCGTCCCCATGGGTCTCTCACCCACACATGTTTTAACCAGTTCAGTACCAAGAAGCAAGTGCTGTTTTTTTCACGTCCCTCTGCTCCATGTGCCTCCTCCAGGTCTCCTTCTGGCTCTCCCTTCTGCTTCCTTTCTTCCCAGTCTCCTCTGCAGCTTCCTCTCCCTGCTCAGCTACACCCTCCCTTGGGTGGAACCTGGAACCTCCCTTTTTCCTGGGGACCACCCTGTTACACAGCTAGACTCAACAAGGAACAACAGGAGACCTTCACCCCAGACCTCGTTAAACAGGGGAAATCAACAGCTTCCCTTGAGAAGACACTAAGGGATCAGGCTGAGGAATGAGAGATGAAGGGAAAGTTTCAGGCTGGGAAGCTGAAGGGACTGTACAGAGAAGCTGAGGACCCAGTTTTCTAATGACTTAGGAGGAGAGATGGCAGGAGGCAGGTGACCTGGGTCAGATTAGGAGTTGTGCCTTAATCTGTGAAAACCAGGACACACGTGAGAGGTGAGTTTCATGGGAAGTTTCTAGTGGTAAAGGATCTGACAGTTGCACAAACAGTTACTCCCTAAGCACCCAACCTGAGCCACACTTAATTAAAGTCAGCCATTACTTTTGTTATTTCTCCAGCCTCCCAGGCACGTTCTGAATCTCTCCAGTGTACCAGGGAGGGAAACAGTGGAACTGGGATGGGCTTGGTGTGTGGGGGCTGGGCCTTACACACACACACACACACACACACACACACACACACATTCCGGCCCCCCCCCCCCACGCCCCCGGGGCTACCCTAGGGCAGCTCCTCCAGATTCCTAATCAGACAGGAGCTCCCCCACCAGGCAGATCAAGTGTGCTGTCTTCACAGCTGGGTGTGTCTACCCTGCTTTTGCAAAAACAACAACAAAAAGGCCTGGGCAAACCTGAGCCTGTTGCCTGAGTGCAGGACTCACCCTAGAACCAGGTGGCAGCAAGGTGCACAGCAAAGCCCAGGCAAGAACTTGGACAGCCATTCCTGCTCCCCCACACAGGAAAGCCCACTACTGTGAGCCCTGAAGCTTTCCCCAGCAGGACCAATTGAATCAGAAGCTCCAAGGAGCTAAGGTGTATCCCACCTGAGTGTGGCCTGCATTTCCTTGTGTGGGGAGGAAGCCCTTCGGATCAGACTGTTAGCTCTATGCTGAGTGGCTCCAGCTGGTTGCCTCCATGCTAAGGCCTTGGTTTTTCTCATCTAAAAATGAGGGGGCTGGGCCTCCCTGGTGGCGCAGAGGTTAAAAATAGCACTATCAAGCTATGGACAGCCACTTCAGCACGAGTTCGATCCCCGGCTGGCTAGGGTGCAACCCACCCACATGGTGCAGCAGAACTCTCCTGTCTCACTTGCTGCTCCCCTCAGCAGTGTATTTCAGTAGAACTTCTTGTTCTGCTCCCCACTTTGTCTCTGGTGACTCCTCTCATCCCCTGCACCTCTGGCTTACACCCCAGTTCTTGTATGCATAAATAAATCTTTTTAAAAAATAAAATAAACATGAGGGGACTGGACTCCATTTCTCATGGCCCCTCCTGGAAGGAGCATCCCTGCTGACCTGCTCGGTCCAGATTTAAAACTCTTCCTTCCCCCATAGGCCTGGGAGGCAGGCAGACCCAGGGTTATATCCTTGGCATTTATTTGCTCTGTCTCCTTGCAGAGAGAAACTTGCTGTACAGCTGTGCATTCCAGCAGGGTCTGCACACTTTCTACAGAGGCCAGAGTTAATAGTTTAGGCCTTCCAGGCCATAAGCTTCCTGTCTCAACTATTCAACCCTGCCACTGCAGCAAAAATAGCGTGGACAATAGGAAACAAATGAACTGGGTCTGTGTTCCCATAAGACTTTGTTTCTGGATGCTGAAATCTAAAGTTTTTATTCTCACCGGTCAAGAAATTATTTTCTTTTAATTTTTATTTCATTTAAAAGCCTGGAAACCATTCCTAGCGAGCTGACTACACTAACACAGGCGACTTGGTCCTTGTTCTAAGGCAGTGTGACCCCTGCATGGCAGCCCAGGCTGGTGAGCTTTGAGGCTGGTTCCTCCCACTGCCTAGAGCTGTTTCCTCATCTGCAAAATGCTGACAGTACTTCCTGCAGGCTTGTGGGGAGTAATTCAGACAACAAAGAAGCTCCCACAGGGTTCCTGGTGTTGGGCAGGAATGTGTCTCTAGTAGAGAGTGAGCAGGGAGTTAGGATGGCATCCTATATCAACCCCACTGTTTGAGTGCTTCCTGTGTGACGGACACTGTGTCCTATCACCTACTCATCTCAGTCCCATGAGAGAAATGACATGTTTCCATTTAACATAGAATAAGAACAAGGCCCAGAGTTGGGATATGAACTGCCTGTTATGTTGTCCACCAGAGCCCCTACTTGCCTGCTTTGTCAACTCTGAACAAACTTGGAGTTGCTTTGTGATTGTGAAGAGTTGA